GTCTCCCAATTGTCTCTCCCATTTCCCTCTCCCATTTGTCTCTCCCATTTCCCTCTCCCATTTGTCTCTCCCATCCCTTGCTCCGTGCCTGGGGGTCCGGGTCGCCGTCGCCCTCCAGCGGCGCCGCGGCCTCGGCCGCGAGCGGCGCACGAGCGCGGGAGCGCGCCGCGCCGTGCCTTCCCCACGACCACGCCGCCTCTCGAAAAAAAAGGAAAAAAAGGAGAAGAAAAAGGGCAGGAAAGGGCAGAAAAGAAAAGAAAAGGGAAAAAAGGAAGAAGAAATAAAGAGAAAGAGAAAAGAAGAGGCGAGAAGCCGGAAGAGAGAAATGGAGAGAAGACAAAAGGACGAGAAAGATAAATAGACATAGAATACAGAGAGAGATAAAAAGAAAGAGTTTGAAAGAAAGAGAGTTTCAAGAGACGCGAAAGTCAATCAACTCAAGAGTTAAAAACAAGAGGATGTTAGAAAAGAAGCCCTTTCTCTCTTTGCGCCGGTTTGTGCGCAATGCAAACACGATCTCGCGATCTCGTGTGCTCTGGGCCTGCGTCAACCCGTCTCACCAGGCGGTCAGAAGCCAACACCCTCAGCGACGGGACGGGTCTGGGCAGCTGGTACTTGGCACTTCGAGAACCCCACGGCCAAGCCAGAGCGCAAAGAGCGCAAAGAGCGCAAGCGAAACGTGGAACCATGGCCAGTCCGCCAGTCCGCCAGTCACCCGCTATATGAAGATGGAAAGCCTGACATAGCTTGAGCCAAAGGAGCCCGAGCCCAATGAGCCCAATTGCACCGGTGCTGAATGCGCGCTCACTTCAAAGACGCCATTGCCCTCCTCAGAGCACTTCCTGACTTCGTGCTGCCCCATTGACACCCAAAAAGTTACACATTGGCTCAAGACTTGTTGTCCTTCATTCAATTTCTGCGTGCACTGGTTGCGCCAAAAAGGGGGGACGCCGTAATGTGAGTGAGTCATTGGGATGCCGTGGGCCCCGCATCCGGACTGACACCGAAGGCTTGCTTTCCGACATCCCCACTTAGGCTCAGAGCGGCATCTGGAGCTGCCAGGGCTTGTCCGGAAAGGCGCGCGCTGACTCAGTGTCGAGACATAACAACTTCCATGAAGGGTTTCCTTTTTGTCACTCACAAACAGCACAGTACCCTCGCTTTTGTTGATTTGTGAATCGCTACTTTTCCAGCCGAGGAGAAGGTCGTGCAGAGTAAGTAATGATATTTCTTCTGATGTCGTTCCATTCCTTTCCAATTCCTTTGCTGCTAGATGAAACTTTGTTTCAAAGCGTGATGCTACAACACTGATGGATATTGTAATCCGCCGACCCCCCTGCCTGCAAGGGGAAGGCGCTAAAAGAGTGTTCGTTTAGCTTTGGGGCGTGACTGTGGCAGCCTTCTCCCTTCCCTTTCGCCCTCGCCCGTTCAGCCCTGTACCTTACCAGCCTTCTTTCTTTCCCTTTTTTCTTGTTCTTCTTCGTTTCTTTTCTTTCCTTTTCCTTTCTGCTGCCGGCGCACTCCTTTGGTTGGTGCTCGCTGTAGACAAACGAGTGCGGCCTGGAAAAGCGCGGGAAGCGAAGCTTTTGTGGCTGGCCGCTCCCTCTGGACCGATAGCCTTGCTGCATATTGGACTCAAACGCGACGTTAGGCACCCGGCCGCGGCGGAGCAGGCTGCCGGCGCACTCCTTTGGTTCGTGCTCGCTGCGGCGAAGCGAGTGCGGCCTCCAAGCGCGCTGGACGCGAAGCTGTTCTTGCTGGTCGCGCCCTGGGGACCGATAGCTTTCTACTTTCTATATAGGATTCAAAAGTGACGTTCGGCACCCGGCCGCGGCGTACCAGCCGGTCTTGGCAAGACGCACAGCAAACCCAAAGGGATGAAAGACCAGGGAGAGGCAAACTGTGACAGACGCAGGCGCACATGGGCATGGACAGGCCGGGGATTGAACCCGGCCCCTCTCGCATGCTGAGCGGGTGTGATGCCACTACACCAACTGCCCCTGAGCTGAGCAGGCCGAGAGTGCTCAACTACCTGCTGCGCACAGCTTTCAGCGCTGAAGCTCTGTCACGGCCAGCCCGTTCGCAGCCTGCTCCGCCGCGGCCGGGTGCCTAACGTCGCGTTTGAGTCCAATATGCAGCAAGGCTATCGGTCCAGAGGGAGCGGCCAGCCACAAAAGCTTCGCTTCCCGCGCTTTTCCAGGCCGCACTCGTTTGTCCACAGCGAGCACCAACCGGAAAGTGCGCCGGCAGCAGAAAGGAAAAGGAAAGAAACCAAAGGAGTGCGCCGGCAGCAGAAAGGAAGAAAAGAGGCCGAACGGGCGGGCCCGCACTCGTTTGCCCACAGCGAGAACCAACCAAAGGAGTGCGCCGGCAGCAGAAAGCAAGCAAAAAGGCCGGACGAGCGGGCCGTGACAGAGCTTCAGCGCTGAAAACTGTGCCCTGCAGGTGCTTGAGCGCTTTTCCAGGCCGCACTCGTTTGCCCACAGCGAGCACCAACCAAAGGAGCGCGCCGGCAGCAGATAGGAAGAAAAGAGGCCGCTGGACGCGAAGCTGTTCTTGCTGGTTGCGCCCTGGGGACCGATAGCTTTCTACTTTCTATACTTTCTATACTTTCTACTATTTCTATATAGGATTCAAAAGTGACGTTCGGCACCCGGCCGCGGCGCAGCAGCCGCCCTTGGCAAGACGCACAGCAAACCCAAAGCGAGAAAGACCAACGCAGGCGCACATGGGCATGGACAGGCTGGGGGTTGAGCCCGGCCCCTCTCGCATGCTGAGCGGGTGTGATGCCACTACACCAACTGCTCCTGAGCTGAGGCCGAGAGTGCTCAAGTACCTGCTGGGCACAGCTTTCAGCGCTGAAGCTCTGTCACGGCCAGCCCGTTCGGCCTCTTTTCTTCCTTTCTGCTGCCGGCGCACTCCTTTTGGTTGGTGCTCGCTGTGGGCAAACAAGTGCGGGCTTGCCCGTTCGGCCTCTTTTCTTCCTTTCTGCTGCCGGCGCACTCCTTTTGGTTGGTGCTCGCTGTGGACAAACGAGTGCGGCCTGGACCAGCGCGGGAAGCGAAGCTTTTGTGGCTGGCCGCTCCCTCTGGACCGATAGCCTTGCTGCATATTGAGCAGGCTGCCGGCGCACTCCTTTGGTTCGTGCCAGGGATAGGCAAACGGTGCCAGACGCAGGCGCACATGGGCATGGACAGGCCGGGGATTGAACCCGGCCCCTCTCGCGTGCTGAGCGGGTGTGATGCCACTACACCAACTGCCCCTGAGCTGAGGAGGCCGAGCGTGCTCAACTACCTGCTGGGCACAGCTTTTCGCGCTGAAGACCCGCCCGTTCGGCCTTTTTTCTTCCTATCGGCTGCCGGCGCACTCCTTTGGTTGGCGCTCGCTGTGGGCAAACGAGTGCGGCCTGGAAAAGCGCTCCAGCACCTGCAGGGCACAGTTTTCAGCGCGGAAGTTCTGTCACGGCCCGCCTGTCCGGCCTTTTTTCTTCCTTTCTGCTGCCGGCGCACTCCTTTGGTTGGTGCTCGCTGTGGGCAAACGAGTGCGGGCCCGCCCGTTCGGCCTCTTTTCTTCCTTTCTGCTGCCGGCGCACTCCTTTGGCTGGTGCTCGCTGTGGACAAGCGAGTGCGGCCTGGCACAGCGCGGGCAGCGAGGCTTTTGTAGCTGGCCGCTGTCTCTGGACACATAGCTTTACTGCGTGTACGATCCCTTCCCATCTTCTTTCCGTTTCCTTTCTGCTGCCGGCGCACTCCTTTGCTTGGTGCTCGCTGTGGCAAAACGAGCGCGGCCTCTTAGCGCGCTGTACGCGAAGCTGTTCTTGCGAGCAGGCATGCACTGGGATAGGGTCGTACTTACGCTGGAGTTATAAGTGACTTAGCACTTAGCTTGGACTTATAAGTAACTTATCTTGAACTTAGAAAAGAGGTTTTTCTAAGTCCGCTAAGTTCATTCTAAGTTCATTGAGTTTGCAAACACATGCGTTTTGAAGCATGGCAGTGATGAAGCATTACGCGCTGGAAATCACACATTTTCGTGTGACTCAACGCAGCAGGGCAGGCGCGCGCGCGCATGCAGTTTACGCTGTTTGTTCGCGCTGCTTCGCACGCTTGGCTCGATGGAGCCGGAGCATTTTTTGCACTGATTGACTCGGTTTAATTTTGTTGTGCGATAATCGTTTCTATATAGTGTCTCCGCTGGCGGCCGGTCCGCCTTCATATAGTCGCATGGGGTGGTTTCTCCGCCGGCGGCCGGTCCGCCCATTTTGCTTTTCTCGTTTGATGATATATCATTGTAGCGGTGGTTCCGCTGGCGGCCGGTCCGCCAAGCTTTTTTTGCCACGTTCATTTTCATTTCGAGATGGCACTTGAAGCGGTTGTCCGCTGGCGGCTGGTCCGCCCAGGAATTGTTCGGCGTGATTTTTATTTCGAGATGGCACTTGAAGCGGTGGTCTGATGGCACCTTGCGATTTTTTGCATGTTTGGATTGTGAGTGCGCGGATGAAAGGCTGCAAGACTCAATCAGAGAATCCAGACTGCTGACTGCAAACTCCACACTCCAGACTGCAGACTCCAGACTGCAGACTCCAAACTGCAGACTCCAGACTGCAAACTCCAGACTCCAGACTGCAGACTCCAGACTGCAGACTCCAGGCTGCAGACTCCAGACTGCAGACTCCACTCCAAACTGCAGACTCCGGACTGCGAACTCCAAACTCCAGACTGCAGACTCCAGACTGCAGACTTCAGACTGCAAACTCCAGACTCCAGACTGCAGACTCCAGACTGCAAACTCCAGGCTCCAGAGTGCAAACTCTGGACTCCAAACTGCAGACTCCAGACTGCAGACTCCAGACTGCAGACTGCAGACTCCAGACTGCAAACTCCAGACTCCCGATGCAGACTCCAGACTCCAGACTGCCAACTCCAGAATCAAGACTGCAGACTCCAGGCTCCAGAATGCAAACTCCACAGACAGACTGCAGACTCCAGACTCCAGACTCCAGACTGCAGACTCCAGACTCCAGACTGCAGACTCCAGGCTGCAGACTCCAGACTGCAGACTCCAGACTGCAGACTCCAGAATCCAGACTCCTGACTCCAGAATTCACAGTCCAGACCCCAGAATCCAGCATCCAGACAGCCCCGCCCCAAAGCCCGGAAAGGCCGGTGCAGTTTTTTCGAACTTAACAAAACTTAACTTAACTTAACCTGGGCGGGTCGTGTGGAGCCGTGGAGTCCCTATTGTAACTCAATCAACTTAACTGCCAAACTTTCCCCGTGAGGCCCAGTTGCGTCACCACGACTTAACATAACTTAACTTGGCCCCGTGGCCGAATTCCACCACAAAATGATCAGGATCCTGGAGCCAGGAGTCATTGTGTCTGGAATCTGGAATCTCGAGTCTGCAGTCTGGATTCTGGAGTTGGCAGTCTGGACTCTGCAGTCTGGAGTCTGCAGTCTGGAGTCTGCAGTCTGGAGTTTGCAGTCTGGAGTCTGGAGTTTGCAGTCTGGAGTCTGCAGTTTGGAGTCTGCAGTCTGGAGTCTGCAGTCTGGAGTGTGGAGTTTGCAGTCAGCAGTCTGGATTCTGGAGCCTTGATTGAGTCTTGCAGCCTTTCATCCGCGCACTCACAATCCAAACATGCAAAAAATCGCAAAGGTGCCATCAGACCACCGCTTCAAGTGCCATCTCGAAATAAAAATCACGCCGAACAATTCCTGGGCGGACCAGCCGCCAGCGGACAACCGCTTCAAGTGCCATCTCGAAATGAAAATGAACGTGGCAAAAAAAGCTTGGCGGACCGGCCGCCAGCGGAACCACCGCTACAATGATATATCATCAAACGAGAAAAGCAAAATGGGCGGACCGGCCGCCGGCGGAGAAACCACCCCATGCGACTATATGAAGGCGGACCGGCCGCCAGCGGAGACACCGCTATAGAAACGATTATTGGACAACAAAATTAAACCGAGTCAATCAGTGCAAAAAATGCTCCGGCTCCATCGAGCCAAGCGTGCGAAGCAGCGCGAACAAACAGCGTAAACTGCATGCGCGATGGCTCACTGCGCGGTCCTGCCGCGATGGCTCACTG